TGGGGATATGCCCGCAACCAAGGTACATGCCCTTGACTGGAATTGAACCTGAGATCCTTCAGTCTGTAGGCCGATGCTCTATCCACCAAGCCAAATTGGTCAGGACTCACTAATTTTTTAAGAATATTTTTTTATTGATTTCAGAGAGGAAGGGAAGAGGGGAGGGGAGGTAGAAACATCTATGAGGAGAGAGAATCATTGATTGGTTGCCTCCTGCACACCCCACACTGGGGACCGAGCCCACAACCCAGGCATATGCCCTGACGGAATCAAACCAGCGACCTCTTGGTTCCTGGGTTGAAGGTCAACCACTGAGCCACACCAGCCACGCTCAGGTACCTCATGTTTTATCTCACCTCCCATCTTAAATACTCCCTAAATCACTGAATAAGAGCTATTTGAGTTTTATGTAATGGTCTGACAGGGCATTCAGAGTTAAACAGACCTGGGTTCAAATCATGTCTCTCAGGGTACATATGTGACCCTGGCTAAATGACTTCCTCTCAGTGAGCTTCAGTTTTCTCATCTGTAAAAGGAAATTAATAATCCCCGCCCTTTCAGAATTGCTGTGTATGTTAACTGAGATAGCATTATTCAATAATATTAATTTCCTTCTCTCCCTCCAGATGTGCTTTTTACTTATAGTCTCCACATTTTCTTAGTACCAGTACTAATATCTAAAGCTGTAATACTACTTTTTCTTCTCCGACATTTTCTCCAGTTGAAAGTGTTTAACATCTTCTCAAAATGATTTTAAGTTAAGAAAATTAAAAAGCACACACAAAACATCCCTTCTTCTTCTACCACCTCAAAGCTCGATATAAAGAAATAGTTCTGCAGAATAATTTGTTCCAAACAAGCCACTTAGCTATTTGGCTATAATGGCAGATAATGCTGTCAGTAGTTTGTGGTGCACCAATAGCTTGTGGTGTATTGGTTTTGTGTGGTGTATTGTTTTGTTTCTTCCTTCCTAGATTGCAACAGAGCTGCTGAACAATTAAAGAATAATCCACGACACAAGAGTTACCTGGAACAAGTGTCCCTGAGACAGCTTGAGAAATTATTCTGTTTTTTACGAGGTAACTTGCGGGGGCAGAGTTTGGCAGAAACAATGGAACAGATTCAACGGGACACAACCATTGATCCTGAGGAAGACCTGAACAAGCTAGATGACAAGGAACTTGCCAAAAGGAAGAGCATCATGGATGAACTTTTTGAGAAAAATCAGAAGAAGAAGGATGATCCAAATTTTGTTTATGACATAGAAGTAGAGTTCCCACAGGATGAACAACTGCAGTCCTGTGGCTGGGACACAGAGTCAGCTGACGAGTTCTGATATCAAAAACAAAAATTTATTGGGCTAGCAGAAACTCCATGTTCATACAGAGAATGTAGAGTAGTCCTAGAAAAATCTGTAAAGAACACTAAATGTACACATCAGGTCATATTTGGATTGACCGTGTTACTTTTCAAAGACAGGACATGTAGGTGCATTGACCCATACACCAAAAAAGGCTTCGGGTTTGATTCCTGGTCAGGGCACGTACTTAGGTTGCTGGTTTGATCCCCGATTGGGGCACATACAGGAGGCAACCAATTGATGTTAGAGTCTCTCTCACATCAATATTTCTCTCCTCTCCTCTCCTCTCTCTAAACATATCCTTGGGTGAAGATTAAAATTTTTTTTTTCATTGAGGCACAGTAAGCAAATTACAGTTTGATAAGATTGGAGGGCATATACAGTTACTAGGGGATTATCCTGTATGCATTATGTCTTTACTTATATATAACTCTGTTTTATAAGTATTTAATTCTAGAGTAGAGTGCCCCTGCACAATGTGCTGCAGCTACAGTTCAGGTCATTTGAGGGACAACAGGAGAATTCTGCCCCTCAGATATCAGGAAATATACACCAAAGACATTCTGAAACCCTGTACCTATTGATGTTAGAGTCTCTCTCACATCAATGTTTCTCTCCTCTCCTCTCTCTAAACATATCCTTGGGTGAAGATTAAAAAAATTTTTTTTCATTGAGGCACAGTAAGCAAATTATAGTTAGACAAGATTGGAGGGCATACACAGTTACGAGGGGATTATCCTTATGCATTATGTCTTTACTTATATTTAACTCTGTTTTATAAGTATTTAATTCTAGAGTAGAGTGCCCCTGCACAATGTGCTGCAGCTACAGTTCAGGTCATTTGAGGGACAACAGGAGAATTCTGCCCCTCAGATATCAGGAAATATACACCAAAGACATTCTGAAACCCTGAACCTTTTCCCATAAAAAAGAGGTTTGTTTGTAAAATGGGGACTCTATCCATAATAAATGAACAATAGGTACTGCCAGTTTAGGCCTATTCATGAATTTGGATCTACAAAGAGGAAATTTTTGTTGACAAGGTTATATGTATACAAATAATCTTTCTTATTTAATTGGTAGAAATCCTGTGTTTTCTGCAAGGAACTTAATACTCATTAAATAAAACTGTAAAAATTATTCTTTCTATCTGTCCATTTCTTCTCTTTATCATTAAAAGCCTCATTAAAGGGATTATTCTTATGGTGATAACACCAGGGACAAGATGGTTATGACTCGTATATTTGCCATAGGTTGCAAAAGAATTTTCAGAATTGGAGGTTCTTTCATACCTACATAGTATTCTGTTGCACAGATATAGATGAAATATTTCAAAAGTTGACCTTAGGTTGCGTTCCCCTTTCACTATACAAACAATGCCACAGCAAATAACCTTGTACATTCTCTATTTTACACATGTGCATGACTATAAATAATGTATAGAGGGGACTTGCTGGGTATGTGCATTCTAAATTTTAATATATTACTGTTTTCCTCTGAAGAGATTTGGTCACTCATTCATTCATTCAGTTATTCAGTAAACACTGTTGGAGTATTTACTCTATGGAAGCTCCCCCAGGACATTTCAAAAGGGACAGCTTTAAAGGAGAGGGAAGAACAAGAGAGAAGACTGACAGACCAGTTATGCCAGGGACAGGACCAGGTTTATGATTTCAGTTTTCTTAATGAACAAGGTGGAGCCACCTGATTAGTGAGGCTGGAGAAGATCTAGGGGCTGAGCAATGAAAAGCACTAGAAGGGGTGGCACCAGAAGGCAGGTCTGACAAGTTGTGACTGGTGGGCAATTAAAGCAATAGGGTCAGAGAAGGGAAATGCTGAGTTAAGAGATCTCAGAAGTTTAGCAAGTCCTGGTGGTGATAACATCGAGCATCTGAACTTTCCAGACCAAGACTGATGGAGAAGACAATCCATAAAACCAAGAAGTTAGGAGTCGAGATTAAGGAGCCTGGAGGAGCAATAGCTCAGATATTGAAAGATCCTGGGAACACTGATGGGGGCAAAGAGAAGAAAATCAGCCAGATCCTAAAGTCATTTGGGTAGATATAAAATGCTTACTATGGTTTTGGGCAACAGCATCAATCATTTGAAGAAGAAAATATAGAGGGATGAAATTAATAGATCTTTAGCCCTGGTGGGGCGGCTCAGTTGGTTGGAACATTGCCCTGTACACCAAAAGGTTGTGAGTTTGATTCCCCATCAAGGCGTATGCGTAGGTTGTCAGTTGCATCCCCAACTGGGGTGCTTACAGGAGGCACTGATCAATGTTTCTCACATCAATATTTCTCTCTCCCCCTCCCACTTCAGACAGGGAGAGAAACATTGATGTGGGAGAGAAACCTTGATATGAGAGAGACACATTGATTGGTTGCCTCCTGCAATTGAGCCTGCAACCAAAGTACATGCCCCTGACTGGAATTGAACCCAAGACCCTTCAGTCCCCAGGCCAGTGAGAAAACCAGCTAGGGCAGAAAAAAGTTCTTATATGTTCCACCAAAAGAAGAAAAACAAAAACAAAGCAAAACAACTAACGAAATTGGTAGTACATGTTGAAGACGGACAGGATAGTCTTTAAATTGAATGAATGCTCCTTATTCCCAGCCTCAATATGACCATCCTGGTGTAGGAACTTTTCAGTTTCTGGTAGGAACTATTGGGTTAACAAATTCTATTAGGGTTGCCTAAAAGTTCCACCAAAAGAAGAAAAACAAAAACAAAGCAAAACAACTAACGAAATTGGTAGTACATGTTGAAGACGGACAGGATAGTCTTTAAATTGAATGAATGCTCCTTATTCCCAGCCTCAATATGACCATCCTGGTGTAGGAACTTTTCAGTTTCTGGTAGGAACTATTGGGTTAACAAATTCTATTAGGGTTGCCTTCTTGCCCTTGACCTTCTTGATAGTAGCCTTATGTACTTAGGAGAGCAAAACTACCACCTGCCTCAATATTTATAAGGAAAGTTTAGCCAGAGCCAGGCATCTGTCATCACTACTGTTAAATATTCAATGTTATTGTCCCTCTTTCCTGTTATTACACTGGCTACTACATAATTTTCACATATTTGGTGAGATGCATTCTCTACTGACAAGAAACTTAGAGGTATCCATTATGTGTGATAACCATAGAAATAGAATGGGTAATTAAAATCTTAATGTAACCCTCAAAGTTTATTTTATCCAAGTCTTTTAATCTCTTCCTTCACTTTATCTCTTTCCCCTCCACTCTACACCAAAACTCTCATCCTGAAATTAGAGTTATCAACTAGTAACAAAATAAGATTTATGTTTTTGCTCTCTCATATCCACTGTTAACCACTTGCGAAGTACTAACACACTCCAAAACAGGTAAAGACTGACAGGATAAATATACATAAATTTTATGTAAAACATATCTATATAATTTATATATATATATATATATACACACACACACACACACACACACACACACACACACACACACACATATGTAAAGGAAAGCTATTTAAAAAAAAGCAGTGTGGCTTCCAGTATTTAAAAAAATATATATATATTATTGATTTCAATGGGGAAGGGAGAGATAGAAACATCCATGATGAGAGAATCATTGATTGGCTGCCTCCTGCGCGCCCCCTACTGGGGACCAAGACTAGAACCCTGGCTTGTGCCCTTGACTCCAATGGAACCTGGGACCTATCAGTCTGCAGGCCGACACTCTATCCACTGAGCCACACCAGCTAGGGCAGACATTAACTACTTTTTGAACCAGTGTTAATCATTTTATTGGTGCTTCATTGATGAGTTAATAAGTCTTAGATATATATTCATTTTACATTGGTATGACAATTATGTTTTTTAAATTTTGAGAATTAAACTTTGATACCTGATAGCCCTGATAAAATAATTAATATATTTTTTAGATTTGGGGGCATGCTTTTGATATAATGGGCTGGCATATTTTAAACTTTTAACCTTTGACATGTTCACCTAGGAGAGGAGTTGGGAACAGGAAGCCAGAAAGAACGGAAAGCTTGAGCAAAAGAGAAAGAGGCCAAGTTGAGACGTTAGACAAATAAAGGACAATTGCCCTATGAGGGGCCACTCTCCCTGTTTGGGTCACAGCTTGCTCTCCCAAGCAAGCAAGCTGTGTCACTATCTTCTGATAAGCCTTTGGGAAGGTCTACCCTGGCACTGCCAAGTTAACCACTAGGACTCCAGAATAGGAGGGCTGGGGAAGCAAGCTGTTGGAAGGGTTGGGGCTAAGGATAGTAGCTAAGAAAGTCCCTCCCAGCCTACTCCATTACCTGCAGCCATAGTTTGATCTTAAGGGAATGAGGATGTACAACTATTGCTACTAAAATTAAATTAAAAAGGAAAAAAAACAACCCCAAACTCCACTACCATCAGAGGGCAGTATTAAAGTTTTTAATTTATCAAAAGGTAGCTCTGGCTCATCATACTAAAAGGATGTAATAATATTTTCTTAAAATTTAAACAATGTGCCTGCATCCACATCCAGGTGAGTGCTGGGGTAAACCTGGCTCAGCCTTTACATTGTTTTTAAATAATCTTTTTAAAATGGTAGGTCTTTTGTGTCATACTTAGATTCATTCATTTTAAGCACTTACTTTGTGCCAAGCACTATTCTAGGTAATAAGAATACAGAGGAGAACAAGACAGGATCCCACTTTCATGGAGCTCACATTTCAGTGTGGAGAAATAAGTAAATAAGGAAAATATTATATGATCATACATGCTGTACAGATAAATTTAAGTGGAGTGATATGGGGTAAATCCTTCACTTCAGCATCATTCCCTCCTGTAGAATCTAAAAAGGAAGACAAGAAAAACATTCTATCAGCCTGACAAAGCCACAAATGCAAATTCCAAGATCATGTAACTAAGACACCTGATATATGTTATCAGTCTTTTAGATGTACAGAAGTAACACTAAAATTCAAGGCCACTATTGAATTTATACCCCATTGAAGAACAGCTGAAGATCTTATGATATATTTTAAATTTTTTAGTTTTCAATTAAAGTTTACATTCAATATTATTTTGTGTTAATTTCAGACGTACAGCATAGTGGTTAGACAATTTATAGTATTTTGAGTGACTGGACTAAAACCGACAGGATGAAATATAAAGAAGATAAAAGTAAAGTCCAACCCTTACATTAAGAAATGTCAACTGCAGGAGCTCAGGATAGAAAAGAATTCACTTCATAATGGCCCTGGCCAGGTAGCTCAGTTAGAGTTAAAGCATCCGCTCAATATACCAAGGTTGTAGTTTGATCCCAGGGTACATACAAGGATTAACCAATGAATGCATGAATACATGTACAGCAAATCTATTTCTCTCTCTCTCTCTCTCTCTCTCTCTCTCTCTCTCTCTCTCTCTCTCTCTCTGTGTGTGTGTGTGTGTGTGTGTGTCTCTCTCTCTTCCTCCCTCAGAGACCAGATAATCAGCAATCCCCAAGGCAGCAGAAGAAAATAGCTCACATAGTCAGGAGCTCTGTCAAGCTATAGATAACATCTTGACCTAAGTTAAGTTTCAGCTCCTGAGCCCTAAGGTGGAACAGATCCCCTGGCTGCTTTCCCATGAAACCAGACGCCCTGACCAGTTTGGCTCAGTGGGGAGAGAGCAAGCCTGCGGCCTCAAGAGTCCCAGGTTCAATTCCGGTCAAGGGCATGTACCTGGGTTGTGGGCACATCCCCAGTAGGGAGTGTGCAGGAGGCAGCTGATTGATGTTTCTCTCTCATTGATGTTTCTAACTCTCTATCCCTCTCCCTTCCTCTCTGTAAAAAATCAATAAAATATTTTTTTAAAAAAGGAGTCACTTCATAGCAATTAATGTGAAACAGAGGGTTTAATGGACAGAAGATTCACTATAAACAGACTGCAGAGTGGCTGCCAAGGAAGCTAATGTAATTCTGCGCTGCACTAATTGAGCGTTTAATGTCCAGATCAAGAGAAGGAGTGGCCCATTGTACGCTGCCTTGGCCAGAACCTGTCTGGAGCCAGGGTCTCTTTCAGGAGCCTAACTTTAAAAGGAACATTGACAAACTGGAGTGTGTCCACAGAGAGTGACCATGTCACATGAGAATCAATTGGAAGACGTGAAGAGGTTTTTGCCTGGAAAAGAGAAGGTTGCTCTTTTTTTTTTCATTATTTTATTTTATTGTATGTCATTGCTTTTTATTTTATTTAT